TTTACCAAAACCTAATCAAATCTGCGCATTGGCCCAGAGCATCTATGCACCAAGTTTCATCAAAAACCGATGTATGGTTCTTGAGATAGCAGTGGAACAGTCGGACACACATACACACACACACACATACACACATACACACATACACACACACATACAGACACACTAACTGCAAAGACTCCCATTTTGTGCTTCGCACATGGGAGTCAAAAACACTTAAAATTGTAATAAATATATTGCTTCTATTTCACAAGTTGATACCAACAATATTTTTCTCACTCAAGATGGGGTAAATTTTTCATATTTTTTGTAACTCACCAAATTAAATCTCTAATTTAGAACAAACAGACAAAATATGACATTACTTCTAGTTTATGATCGAAAAAATTGATCAAAAAATCGGAAACAAATTATTTATGGAATAGAGCAGACTATAAATAAAACAATTTTGTGGATGTTGTCTGAAGTTGACTTTGGCGCTCAAAAATTTGATACTATTGTCAACCATACTGAGAAACAGACACATATTATTGAATTAGCTTGTATACATGAAATGATTGACTGATTGAGATAACATGTAAATACTGGTAATAAAATTATTATTATTAAAATTATTATTATTATTATTATAATAATAGAATCATGTTTACCTAACTGGATCTTCAATATGATTCTGGAAAGCTGATATGAATTCTTCTAATACCTGAAATGTATATTGCAAATGACTATAATCAGTTTTTTTCCTGTGAGAGATAAATCTTTCATGAATGTCATGAGTCAGGGTAAGCACAAAGTTTTTGTAAAAGTAAATATATAAATTTTTATGTAAAAGAGTAAAAGTGGCTAATGTGAAATTATGTCGCAACAAATGCTGTCAAGACATTTTGTGAAAACTAGACGATTATGAATAAACTGTATATTTGTTACATCACATGGTCACATGCTTGCCGACGAACGCAACTCAAATTTGCAAAACTCTCACAAAACCTTGTTAACGACAGTTAATTGTTTTGTATTGTGCCCTAAATAGAACATTTATTTTTAATTTACATGTATCATTTAAGGATATGTTAACTTACTGAAATAATGCAGTAAAATACAATGTAGGTTGAAACATTTCAATAAGAATAACACACATTGATGGCTATACTAACAAATTTCAACCATCCAAAATTCAGTGCAAATATTTTAACATTTTGTAAAATTTTCAGAAATTTCATCACCATTTTGAAGCATACAGATAGTTTAAGATATTGCTTTTAGTTTTTGATCAAAAGACTTATCAATTTTTATCAACATTTCATGTGAAGAGGGAGCAGACTACACAAAATAATTTTGTAGATGGTGCAAAAAGATGATAATGGCACTCAAACAGTTAAAGAGCAGGGGTCATCATGCCAGGTCTTGTTCGATATCAGACCCATAGTGTTGTTTACAACATGTGTAAATGACATTGTTTGTTTACACAAAATTTGGACCTATACCGCACGATGATCATCGTCCTTTAAATTGAACTTACCTGAGGGTAGTGAGAGTGCTGCTTAATAGTCTTGGTGAGATCTCGCTGAAATACAGCCTG